GCTCGCCGGGAGGGACCCCTCCCGACGAGCTGGGTTATGTACCCGCTCGTCGGAAAGGGTTTCCTTCCGAAGAGCTGGTATAAAGACCTTCTCGCCGGGAGGGACCCCTCCCGACGAGCTGGGTTATTTACCCGCTTGTCGGAAGGGTTTCCTTCCGACGAGCTGGTATAAAAACCAGCTCGTCGGAAGGGTTTCCTTCTGACGAGCTGGTATAAAAACCAGCTCGCCGGGAGGGACCCCTCCCGACGAGCTGGTACAAAATCCAGCTTGTCAGGAGGCGTTCCTCCCGACGAGCTGGTTTGAAAGCCAGCTTGCCGGAAGGGGCGTTGATAAACGCACTCCCTCCCCCTCCCCGCACGCCCACGCCCACGCCCCTCCAAAAGGGGCGTGTGATTGAACCCGCCCCTCCAGGAGGGGCGGGTTCTTCTGCACGCCCCTTGGAAGCGTGGGACTGTCGAAGGTGTGTGACAAATTTTCATGTGTCGGCCTTTTACCCCGCTATTCTTTCTAAATTGTATTGCCTCTTGATTCTGTTCAGGACGTGGACTCGATCGATAACAAGTTGAACGACTCCATGAGGATGGCTTTGACAACACTCTCACAAGTTATTGGAGCCATCATTTTAATTGGGATTACGAGTCGCTATTTCTTACTCGCGATGGCAGGCGTAACAGCAGGCTGTTGGCTTCTTGCCAGCTTCTATAGGCCCTCCGCTTGAGATATACAACGTCTGAATAACTTGCTCCGAAGCAAGCTTTATGCGCAGTTTACCGAATCCCTGAATGGAATCACCACCATCAAGGCTTACGGAATGAAGGCGAAGTCAATAGTCAAGCACTGTCGCCTGCTGGATCACAAGACTCGGGCTCATTACTTGACCACTGTCAATCAACAATGGCTTTTGGTTGGAAGGATTTGGCTCGATCTTGGTGTTCATTGTCGCGATTATCTCTGTCGCACAAGCTGGCTCGATTAATCCGAGTCAAATTGGCCTCATACTCACTGATGTTCAAACGATCTCCCTATGTACCAGCTCATCGGGAGGGTTTCCTCCCGATGAACTGGTTTCAAATCCAGCCCATCGGGATTAAACCCTCCCGATGGGCTGGATTTAAAATGTTACAAGAAGATGGGATTACGTGAGCAAAACATCCTAGGATGTTTTGCTCACGTAATCATACCTGCTAGTCAAGAACCAAGCTATCTTGGTTCTTGGCTGGCATGCAAGCCCACCCGCCCCTCCTGGAGGGGCGGGTTCTTCTGCACGCCCCTCGGAAGCGTGTTTTTTTCAAAAACCACGCTTCCAAGGGGCGTGCAATCAAACCCGCCCCTCCAGGAGGGGCGGGTTCAATCGCACGCCCCTTTTGAAGGGGCGTGGGCGTGGGCGTGCGGGGAGGGGGAGGGAGTGCGTTTATCAACGCCCCGTCGGAAGGAACCGCTTCCGACGAGCTGGTACATAAATCTAGCTCGTCGGGAGGGGTTCCTCTCGGCAAGCTGGTTTTGAAAGACAGCAATCACGCTTGTCAGAAGGAATCCCTTTCC